TACCCATAGGCCACTCACTTCTGGAAGGCTGCAATGTTACCACCAATTCAGCTGCCAGGCTCAGTTTAGGGGTGATTCTGGGAGACCCAAGGTGGCAGTCTCTTTCCACTGTTGTGGCTACTCGGAGTGAGTGGGACACCTGTGTGCTGAGAGCTGGAGAAGGAGAGTGGAGGCATGGCTTTGTGCTTTAATTTTTGGTGAAATCTGAATTTAACCAGGAGCCAAGATAGAGCCTAGGACTTCTCCAAGGTGCTTGGCACAATCAGTTTTACACTCCTAGTGTGGTTAGGAACCGAGAGAGAGAAGGGACCCAGCAGCCTGGTACTCAGGGCCAGGGCCAAGGCCAAGGCCTGGCCCAAGTGGAGCATAGCTCAGGAACCTCTGAGTGCCAGGTGTTATGGGTCAGACACCGACCTGCGCTCACCCGGACACTTAATTCCTCCCCCAATCCCTGGTCTCTGCCGTGTGGGTTAGATCTACTGCAAGTGCTAGGCATGGGGAAAGGAAGAGAGAAGTTAAACGTGAAACGGCTTCTGCTCTCGGCCTCTCCGTGAGCGCTCTCGGCCCTCCTGTGGAGACCTCCAGGTCCTATCACACGAGTCCCTAAACCTTGTCACTCGAGCATTCTTGTCTCCCTAACTCTGATGGTCCGCAGTGGCTACTGGGCTCCCTGGGCCCTGGGAGGAAGACGGAGGAGTTTGGGGGAAAGACTAGACGGTGCGCACCCACGCGCGCAGCCCTAAAGCTTCTGAGGGCAGAGGGGGCGCTTCCTTGCCCTCCGGGCTGGGAAGCCGTGAACGCCGAGGCCATTGTAAGGCTGGGTGGTGCGGAGCGCGGGAAGGGGGCTGGGATTTGAATGAGAGCCTGTGATTGGCCGATCCCTGGACTGACGTCACTTCCCCGCGGGGCGATTAGCCTGCGAGAGAAGGGCCGGCGGTCCAGTGCGCTGGGGGTGGCGGGGGCGCCCGAGGCTCTCTAAGCGCTCGGCGCGGGTGCCCTCCGTGCGCCCCGGGACGCCGTCGAGGCCGCCAGCGCCGGTGCCTGGACGCACGGAACGGGGAGCAGGGGAGGAATGCGCCGGGAAGGCGAGGGAGGAAGGGAACTGGGCGGGGGCTGTCGGCCTCGGTGGCGGGAGTCAGCGTGTGCATGTGTCTGTCCATTCCCTCTGGTTCTCCGCTTGCGCCCCGGGATCCGGGAACGGCGTCCGCCCAGGCTTCCGCGCCCGGCCGGCAGCAGCACGTGGAGCCCACGGCGCGGCAGCGGCAGTGGCGAAGGGAGGCCCGTTTCTCTCTTTGGTTATCTAGCTGTATGAGTGCCACAGAGCCGTCATAAAGCTAGATAACCGAAAGTAGAAATGACTCTCACAACTTCTGCGTGCGAGCGCCCGCCCCGCCGACCGCCCCGGCCCGGCCAGCAAGAGCCAGAGGAGCCGAGAGGAGCTGAGAGGAGCCCAGCGCCGGCCCAGCGGACTCCAGCTCCACGGAGCGGCCGCGCCCCGACCAGGTACCTGACCTCGGCTCTCTCTCTGGGGCCACTTGCAGTGCCAGCTTTCCCCCAGTCCTCCTCTTTCCTGGTACCCCACCCCTATCCCCCAACGCCGGAGCAGGAACCCCAAAGTGGAGCGAGCCGGGGTGAGGGAGGGGGTTGGGGTTGCAGAGGGGTCGCTGGAAGGGGAAGGCGCCAGCCTTCGCCTTCACCCCATAAATCAGGCTGGAACAATCCGCTCCCGGAGCCGCGGACGGGGATTTTGGGATGCAAATGCGATGGGAGAGAGACAGCGGTCGGTAGGGGGTGGGTGGAGGGAGTGAATGGGGTGGGCTGGGGGCTGCCCTGCCGCCAACAATGCGGCCTTTATCGAATTATTCGACGAGTCAGCCCCTGAGCGCCATTAGCATACGGCTGGGGGGTTGCCGGAGCTTCGCCCCTCGGTGAGGTCAAGTTCTTGATAATTTGATCACTTTTCACGGGCTCTGGCAGCTGCCTTTGTGTGCAGTTGGGGGGTCTGTGTGCAGCGTGAAGCGGAGCAGAACTGGCGGGGAGTGCGCTCAATGGCAAGGGGCCAGGGCAGGGGCCTCCCTCCCCGACGGGCCGGCCCTGCCCTGCATACAAACCAAGAGCCGGCAGGCGGAAGGAACCGAGCTCAGTTTCCCTACCTCTACGCCAGCCCCGACTGGACTGCTCCTGCCCGAGCCTCCCCAACTTCCCGCAAGGTTAAGGTGCAGGCAAGCTCCCAGAGTTCCCCCTCCTCCCTGCCCCAAGAAGTCACGACATAAGATGTATTACAATGTCTAGCAAATAAAAAAGCAATTGGGGGAAATCTGAATTCGTTCCCATGGCAACCCAATGCAGCACACCCGGCCACTCAGGCTCCCAGCCCCTCTTAACTGGGCTCAGGCAGTGGGGTTTGCCCCTGCTCAGTGCGTGGGGGTCCTGGCCCCACACAGTGCTAGGGTCCCTCTGGAGTTTCTCATCTGCCTTCAGGTCACTTTTCACCCTGATGCCTTGGCTTGTCCTGAAGCTCAGGGCTCCTGCAGCTCGGGAAACCTCCCAAGCTCCCCAACCAGTGGCTGTAGACCAAGGAAGGGACACTGCCCGGCTTCAGGGAAGAAAGGAAGAAAGGTAGGCTCAGACTCCCTGATTGGTAGGGGGGCTTTCTAAGTATATGGGTATGTGAGTGCTGTGATAGACAGGCTGAAATGAACTGGCACCACCCAGCCCTGACCGCAATCCCCTCACCCTTTTACATGAGAGGAAGCAGATCTGGGGATCTGAAGTGACTCCCTAAGGGTCACACAGCTCAGAAGGCAGAGCTGGACCCCAGGCCACCTTATGTACATCTTGGCTCACTTCATTCCCCAGAGCCTCTCCCTCAGTGATTTTCATGGCCCCTCTTCTCCCAGCCTTTGCCCAGCCCTCTTGTAAAAATAGAAATATTTTTTCCATCTTCACTCTTGCAAGCGTTTTTTGTTCTTTGCCTAACAAAAGTATTTTGAAAATAGGGTATATGTGTAAATGGTGAAAATTCAAACAGTACAAAAGGAAAACCCCTTGGCTCTGAGGAGAAGAACTGTGTGGCTGAGGTGCACGGTGGAGGGAGATATTCACTGTATACCTTGGAATTGTGAACCCTGTGAGTGTGTTAGCATTCACAGTAAAATTAAATAAAAATACAAACAAAAGACCAGGCAGGGAAAGTCAGCTGCCCTCCTACTTCGGTCCCCAGTTCTCCTCAGAGATAATCACGGACAGAAGGTTTTCTGAATCCCATTGTACCCCTCCTCCATTTTGAAAGGCCAGTCTCCCTTTTTTTCTGACAGGAGGCTGGTGAAGGGTGACTAGAGTGTTTTGGGATTCACGAGGCTATGGGCTGCATCCCTTGGGCCATCCCTCCCTTCCCAACGCACCTGGGAGCCTGTGTGCTGATGGTGACCTCATTTCGGAGGAAACCGGAGCAGCGCTTCCTGCCCCCTTGCCCTGCACTCCCTGCCTCCCTCCCTCACCGGCCAGCGGGTGTGGGCAAACCCCGGGCCCCAGGCTTCGATCTTCCCCTCCCACCACCCCTACCCCTTTGCTGTGTTGCAAGAACTAATCCTTCACTTGCCAGGGTGGCTTTGCAGCTTCCCAGCAGTGTCTACGCAGTTCAGATGAGTGTTGTTTTTAAACACCACTGTCCCATACCATCTGGGCTGGGCTGAAACCCGAGTTGAGGGTCCAATGAAGGAGGAGTCTGTGCGAGAGGGCAACGCGGCATTTTTCCGCTTTCTACGAAAATCTGTTGATGCAAACCTCCCGCTTCAGAGAAAGATCGCGGCAGCAAGGCTGCGGAGGGCGATGAGCATGCCAGTTCTAATCTCCAGGAGCCCATCCCACACGTTCCCGAAATGGCCCTGGGAGAGAGGCCAGAGGCCAACTCATCCCATTTCGGCCTCCTGGTACGAGTGCCTGCCCCTAATAGAGCAATGTTCGAATCCCCCTTGGACACTTAAAGCCCAAGGCACAGACTCAAAATTAGTGCCTGGGCCCATCAACTTCTTCAGGCCTGCCTGGACCTGGAGTAGCGGGACGGGTCTGGGGCCTTCTCAGCCCCTCCTGTCCTCCATTCCTGTGCCCCAGGAAGGCCTTCCCCAACCCTCCTCTGGCCACTGGGTCCCCACGTTTGGGCTTCATTTTTGTCTCCAGTTTGTGCTACTCTTTCTTCATCCAAAAAGGCGTTGGAGATTCCGAGAATCTGCTGCAGCTTGGAAGCCAGAATCTTAGAGAATCTCGGATACTCCTCACCCCATTCCTTTCATTTTACACCTAGAAATGGTGTAAAAAGGCCCAGTGGCTCGCGGAAGGTCGCACAGAAGGCCACTGACAGGGCAGCGATCGGGACAGCCACCGTGGTGGGCGAGGCATCCGGGGCTTCCTTTTCTCTGGTCCACGAACTCCCAACTCCGAACGCGGTGGGACTGCATGGGTCTCTGCCCGGGTCAATGAAATGCGCCGCCAAGAGGAGGCTGCGGCGCGGCCCTGAGACCTGATCTCCACAGGCCGGAGAGTTCTCTGCTGGCCGCGGCCCGACCTCCCGGGAAATGGGACCAGAGCGCGGAGGGAGCCTGGCCAGGAGGCCTCCTAGGACCCAGCCGCGACGCTGAAAAGCATGAAGGGTCGGAATTAGGCACTCATTTAGCGAGCGTTACTAATCCGAAGTTACAGCGCTAATTCCCTGATCCGGCCGCTCCCACACGCAGCGCCGGGATTAGAGGCGCGGCCGCCGCCCGCCCCGCCCTCACACCCCAAACGCGCCCGCCCTGCGCCCTCGAGGCTTCGGGCTCAGGGCTAATCCGCCGCGCCGCGCCGCGCTCGCCTGGCCCGAGCGCGCGGCGGGTCGGGCTCGGCCAGCTGGGGCGAGCCGGCCTGTTCGCTGACTCAGGCGCCCGGGTCCGGGCTGGGCAAGGAGCGCTTGGCCTCGAGCCACTGGACAGCCCAGGCGGGACGGATGCGCCCTCCAGGGCCCAGGCGAGGCCGCGCGGTGGAGAACCGCCGGGATTTCTCCAACCCGCGTATGCGCACCCACAGCAGCGGCCTTTGGAGGCCGCGGCGCCATTTTAGTGGCCTTCTTTCCCCCTTGGCATCTGTCGTGTACGTTGTGGCTGGGTGTCCCCAGTTCCCCCATCCCGCCCTGACTTTGGCTGCCCGCTCCACCAGCCTGGATAGAGTGACCAATCAGCTCTGACCTAGGGTGGGATGCACGTCACCATGGCGACGGCTAGGGCGCCCTGGCGATGCTGCCCATCGTAGAGGGCGACTCTTCACTCCGCCTGGATGGGTGTGAAGGGAAGGTGGGGACAGGTGCTGGGGAGGGGCGGGCGGAGGCAGGCCGTGGCACCTCCTCCCCATTCCCACCTCGTTTTGCCTACAGTCAGTTCAGCTGGGTCAGGCGGGGGACAAATGGATGTTGTGGAAGGCGCCTGGGTAGGGGTCTGGGCTCGTTCTGGGGCGGCTCTTCCACGAGTCGTCTCATCCCCCGCAGGACCTAGCTCTGGTATAAAGGCTTATCTTGGTCTCTCATCCTCTTCTATGTCTCTCTGCCAAAGACAGTGGTGTTCAGGAGCCTCCAGACGCTTGCCCCTCATTTTTCTTGCTGTTAAGTGCTGTGATTTTAGACAAGTCGCTTTCCCTAGGTCTTAGTTTTTGCATCCAGAAGATGGGCTGCTGTGCAGGCTCATGCATGGAAAGCCTTGAGTGCACACTGGGTGCTCTTTCAGTGTTACAGCTCCTTCTCCCTTAGCAGGGAGTGCAAGACCTTTGGGGGCAGGATTCAGAACCTGAGGATGTCCTTTCTGTCCAGGGCAGCCAAGTTTGGGTGTCTGGTGGCTTCCTAGAGCCAGCTTTTCATCTCTTCTCCAGACAGCTGGCAGAGGAGGGGAGGATTTTTAAAAATAGAGCCAGGGTGGGGGCTGTGGCTGGAACAAAACCTTGGTCAGTGGCTCTGAGAATGGGGCGCTACAGCTCCTAAAGCTCTGGCTCCTTCCTTCAAGCCTGGTCTGGCTTAAGCACCACTTTAAGTGGTCCCGGCATTCACTGGCCAGCCCCTCACCGCAATTGAGCTGCAGGGGTTTGAAAAGAGGGCCAGGGCCTCAATGACAGGACCTTGGGCCAGGCTAATTGGTTTTGGTTCAAGGGGATAGTGGATTTGTGAAAAGCTCCAAACCGCCTTTCCCACGCCAGAGCCAGGCCACGGCTTTAAGGAGAAGGGTTCAAGGAGCTTGGGGCCAGGCAAGAAAGCTGGGAGCGAGGTGCCTTCAGCTGATGACCCTGCTCTCATAGCCAAGACAGCCCTCTGGTTGGAGAGGGTAGGAAGCTGTTGTGAGGCCACTTCCAGGAGCACCTGCATTTATGGCCTGTCAGGTACTCGAGAGTCAGTTGGATATATTCCTAACCTTCTCCTACACGTGGCTGTGCCAAGAAAGGGGCCTCCTCCTTTGGCGTACCTTAGTGGTGGAGAGGCCCCATTTTCTCAAGTGGGATCATCCAGTAAAAGAAGCCAGCAATGGCCAGGTTTAATATTTCTTGCCCCAGGAGCTGGACTAAACCCAGGCTTTTATATTCTGGGGGCATTCTGGACTCTATCCTGAGGCAGGTATGCAGTTGGTCTCAAGGTGATAACCCACTTCTGTCTCTTGAAATGTCCTTATACTACCCTGGGCATGGACAAACAAAGCAGAGATGAGAAACAGGAAGCCCTTGGTACTTTAAAAAAAAAAAAAGTCAAATATTTCTATTCTCAAAAGTCCAGTATTAATTATGTTATGACTTAAATCTATCATCATTATAGATAATTTTAATATAAATGGCTTGAAGCATATATCTTAAGGTGTATCAGTTACCTATGTGTTTGGACAAAATGATTGCACATTCGTATATGTAATATACCCATTCTATGTGTGCATATATATATGTATACATGGTCTATATATCAAATCATATGCTTATATTAACAATCAGTTATGTTAAGGTTGAAGGCAGGGTGGGGTGCTATAAATCATCAGCCCCATTTAAAATAACAACGTTGCATTGACTGAGACCAGTGTTTCATGGTTTATTGTGTGTTGGAGGGGAGCATTCCTATGCGATCACAGGCTGAAGAAACCCCCTACCTTTTTTATTATCCAAATTTTTCACTGTGTTTGCCCACTTGACGCATATAAATAGGAGAAAGGCACTTTGAAGAGATATAGAACTCTGTGTATCACATTTTCCATTTTTATTTCAATTTTTAATTGCCCAGAGCCTAATTTCTTTGGGCCTCTGCTGATTTGCACATTTGAGATTCATGTGTAAATATGTATGTGGCATGTGTGCACGCCTGGGCCTCCTTATCACAAAGTGTGCTCTCTCGGTGTTTAAATACACACAATCCACATCGACACATGATTATGGGCTTACGTATTTGCTTCTTCTCTAGAATCGGGTTAATTTTCCCTTCGCTAATCCTCAAACCCATTAAGTTCCCCACCTCCCCACCCCCACAAAAAATTGCAAACCCTACCACAGACCAGTGGTCTCACCCCACTTCTCCAGCAAGCAGTTCTCCAGGCGGGGTGCTGGAGTGAAGGTTCCTATTAGGCAGACTTCATTAATGTTACCAAATATACCCTGGCACATTTACTCGCCTACTATGAAGTATTACCATAAATAATTAAAATTAAACTGCACTTGTCAAAATAAATGAACAAAGTAGAGTTAGTGATGTCTTTGCCTTGATTTGCTTGGTTTGCTTATTCACTAATTTGAAGAAAGAAAGTGGGAAAAATCATAGAAAGAACACTGCTACAGACTGCCATGGGATGGACAGAGGAGATAGGGAGAGAATGGAGTGGGGGGAGAGAGAGAGACAGAGGGAGAGAGAGCCCTCAGTCATCTGCCCTTGGGTTTCCAGTCATTAGGGCACTCTAGGAGGCTGGAATGCAGCCTTTAACGTCAGCCCATAATGAATATTGAGGTGTGGATGTGGAAGGAGGGATTTCTTTGTTTACTGAGGAATGGCCATGGGAGTAGGGGAGAGGATTGCCTTTGGGGATTAAGGAGTGGGCTTTGTTTTTATAAAGGGCCTTACTTCTTTTCTGAAGTTTTCTGCAGCTAATTGATTCAATTCAGACATTCCTCTTCCCCACCCGGCCCTGGCCACGTGTTTGTGAGATGTGGACAGCCCCATTTCCCCATCTGCTCTGGCCTCTTTTTCCACTGTGACCCTTGAAAAGGGTGTGAACCTTCACATCAACGAGATCACAGGCTATGGGGAAAACAGTAAGGGGCCGAGACCTTTGTAAGGATATGTGTGTGATATAGATGCACATACATATACACGCACCTATATTAATAGAGGTATAATTTACATCTAGAAACAGATCATAGGTGTACAGTTCTGTGGGTTCTGACAAATGCATTTATACCCATGTACCCAACACCCAAGATAAACTTCATTTCCTTCATTCCAAAAACTTCTTTCCTACCTCTCAGCAGTCAATCCCTGCCAGTCCCCATTCCGATGTCTCTTACCATAGATTAGTTTTACCTATCCAGAGTTTCATATAAATGGAATGTATGCCAGGGCTTTTAAAAATGAATTTATTTCGAGTCTGGAGGGAGCACTGTCCAGGGAGGCCTGGTTGAGCATGTGTCCAGGAGCACTGGACTTGTGTTAAACACTGTCCCCTTGGATGGGCCCGGAAGTCAAACCTGTCATTAGATTTTTTGTTGTTGTTGTTGGGGGAGCTGGTGTGGGCTGGTCGTCCTCCAGGAGAGCCCTGTTCTCACCCGAGGTCTGTTAATGAGCTGGGGACAGGTGAGCCTCACACGTTCCAACTTGGCTGCCTTCAGCGGCATCCAGGAGCAGTGGTGAGCTATTAATGGAAGGTGCTGGCTTTGTGCTAATTAGAACTTCCTTTCAGCTTCCATCTGCACAGACACTGGAGCCCCTCACTGGTCAGCCTCACCGTTCCAACCCCCCTCAGTTTGCAACCTAGTTTTTGTCCCCCCTGCCCCGCCCTCCATGAATTAGGGGGTACTATGAGTGGAGCTGCTTTCCTCTATCTCTGGTCAAATCCTGGCTCTTTGTGTATTGCAGGACTGCACTGGGTGGTATTTCTCAGGCCTTCTCTCTCTTATTGGGGTGAAGATGGAGTTGGAAGATGGGGTTGGAAAGGGATTTGGGCACCATGGGCACCCTCCTGGGTAGGCTGGACTTACATCATTGACCTGAATTTGTTTTATGAAAGACCTCTCTCCTCTGCCCTCTGGAGACTGTGGCTTCAGACCCTTGTCCTTTCCATTACCCCTAGTCCTGATGTCTCCCAAGTCTGATGGTACCCACCCATCTCAACTACAGCTGCCATCTTTGCCATCTCAGGCAGCCTACAGGTAGGGGCTGTGTCCTTGGCCCTCTTCTGGAAAAAAAAAAACAAGAAAAACAACAAAAAAAAAACAACCTATTTTTTTTTTCCTTCACTTTTGCTTTTTATTCCTTTCACTTCAGGCCCAATGGATATAATTTTTTCTTTAATGGAAGTTGTCTCTTACAGAGGTTTCATTGAAAAAGAAGAAACAACGTCACTTTAACGTCATTTAAAGAAAAAGCACCTCTCAGAATGGAGGTTAGGAAAGCTAGGGTTTCCTGCCTGAATATCAGTTCCTCTATTGAAACGAAGGGATGAAATCCCTTGTAAGGAACTCAAGAGAGGAGCGTTTCCTCAAAATGCTTTCTTTAGCTCCTGAGTCTCCTTAGGTCTACACTGGGGTTGTGTGTAAAAATACCAAGCCCTCCCTGACAATGCGTCTCCTTCTCTTCTGCTTGAATTATCCTGATAATGAGAGTTCACCCACTTCTTTGACAGTGTAGACTAGGATTTTAAAAATTGGGAGTGAATTGTTGGACAGTGTGACACTTCACCAGATTCCCTCAAGGTTCTGGACCTACGCTAAAGAGGGGTGGAAATGCTTCTGGGGTGTCCAGAAGGGCTGCAGAAATTCCCCATCACTGGTCATTGGGAGAGCAGGAGGACTGGTTTCCCTCTGTGGCCTATTCTGCCTCTGAAGGTGACAATTCCTGATTTGAGGCACTAGGGTGGAAGATCCAGGACTATCCAGGACCAGGTTAATAAATTGGCGTCCAGATTCCAGAAGGGCAGCAGCTGGGGACTGGAGACATGCCCATGCCTGTGGGACAGAGTTCTTTTGCATGCTTTGGACTTTACAACTCTGTATCCTTGACAAGTCACAGGCATCTCTGGGTCAAATCGGGACAATAGTACCCATACCTCCAAGGGTTATGTGAGAATTAAGTAAAATATACAAATAAAGTGCCTGGCATACAATGGGCACTGAGCAAATGGTAGCTCTTTTTTCCAGGCTGGGGCAAGGGATGCATATAAATGTCTGGATCCGAAGTTTGAAATTCCACCTGCTGGAGACAGTGAACACCCCAATAGATACCCCAAATCGCACTGAAGGACGGATGACGGGCTGCCTTCCTCCCCCAGGGCATGCCATACACACTGGGTCTGAAGTGGAAGAATCGGCACCCCAAAAAACGGCTTGTGTAGCGGGGTTGCACATGGGTGTAAAGTTCCCAGCTTGGCTGCCTGGGGAGGGGGACACATAAATGTCTTTAGAGATTTGAAGGGAGCAGGATCTGGACTGACTTGCGTTGCCAAGACGGCTGGGGCTGGGAGCCAAGGGGGTGCTGCCGGGAGGCCCGCGTTAGCTTGGGGTATGACATTTCTAACAGTTGGCGCCTAGGAAAATGGCCTGGGGTTCCAGCTCTGGAGGGTTCCGAATCTCAGGATTCACAAGTGGCGCTGTCCGGAGCAGCCAGGGTTGTCCCGAGGTGGTCTCGGGCAGGCTTTCCACGATGTGCTGTCTGGGTCGCAGGTGAGAACCTCATGGTTCTCCATTTCCGGAACTCCAGCTCTGAGCAGGCAGAGGGGCGCTGCCCTCGCCTGCCCCTGCGGTAGCCAAGCAGGTGGCTGGAAGCATGGCTAGCTGGTGGGTAAGGAGCTCCGGGTGAGACGGAACAGCCGGAGACCCCCAATCCCCTTAGCCGGTGCCCCACCCGATTTCTCTCCTGCGTCCTGGGAGGGCATGGTTGAGGCGCCACCAGTGACCAGCAACCTCCCCAGGCTGTGGTTGTGACCTGAGGACGCGTGTGTCTCCGCCCCCAGGCCAACGCTAGGCGACCCTGAGTGCACCTTCAAGAAGGCCTGGTATGTTTCTGGGCGGTCGTGGGGGGTGCCTGATATCTCGGCTCTGTTTTACAGCTACTCCCCTGCTGGTGCCTCCCTCCTTGGCGCGGTTTCTGCCTGCGATCAGCGCCCTCTTCGCAGTCACGAACTCGCCAGCAGCTAGCAGCACTTACTAGTAGGAGGGCCCACCGGAGGAGAGGTGAGCGACCAGAGCCAGGGAGTGGGAGGAGGAGCTGGCTGCCCGCACCCGCACTCCACCCCAGATGGCTCAGAGAGTGGGCTGCGGGTTGGGAGGTTGGGAAATTCCAGGATCAGGTTGGTAGTGCGCCTATGTTTTTACCTGGGTCACCAGCAAGACTACTCCCCTCCTCCCTAGGCCCGGATCCAATGTCATCCCTCACCCTCAACCTGTGAAATGGCTTTAACCATACACCTGCTGGCTTGTTGTGCTCTATGACATAATTTGGCAGAGCACGGCGTGTAGCACACAGTGGGCGCAAAGTAAATGGCGGCTCTGGCGGTTCTAGCACCGGAGGCGGCTTCTTGGACACCCGGCGTTCGCGGGAGCCTGAGGCGCTCGGTTGCTAGAGCCTTAGCTGGGAGTGGCGTGGCTGCTTCCCGCCTGCGCAGGACCAGGCCGGCCCCCGCGGAGCTCAGGGCCTGGACCCGCGCTCCCCACCCAGAGCTAGGGAAACGGGAAAAAGAGGCACAAACTCGGAAGCCGCAGTACGGCAAGAGCCTAAGCAAAGAATCCTTTCCAAGCATTCACACCTTGTCTATGCCAGGGCACCGCCTGGGCCTACGGCCTTCGCAACCTGAAGCGCCCGCAGCCCAGAACTGGCATCAGGCCGGGAAGGTCGTCGCAGGCCCCAGAGTGCGGGCACTGGGGGCGCGCGCCCACTGGCCGCCCGGGGCTGGGGAGGCAGGAGGGAAGGACGCCGGCAGGCCCGCGGCTGTTTCCCCTCGGTCCCCTCGGCCCGCGCCGCGGACCCGGGAGGCCATTTTGAGAGCGCGAAGAGGGGCGGCAAGATGGCTGCGTGGGCACCCGGGAGGTCACCGCGCCAAGGGCCCGCCGATCCCCTCCTCGCACTCGTCCAGCCGCGCGGCCCACGGAAGCGGAACGCGCGTCGAGCGCTCCCTGCCTGCTCGCCCCAGACAGATGCCCCGTTATTCATTACCCCGAGGCCTAGAGGAGCGAATGGCTGCCGTCTTCCTGCCCACAGCCAGCCGGACCCTCCGTCGCGGCTGCCCGGTCCCCGGAGCCGCAGCCGCCGAGCCCGGCTGTGCGTGTCGTGGCTGCTGGGGAGAAAGGCGTCCGGTAAGAGCCCTCCTCACTGGGCTGCCCGCCCCGGGCAGGGGCGGAAACGGCCTTCCCCGCGTGGGGAACAATGGCGTTATTTTGGAGTCTGCAACCGAGAGGCTTCGAGCTCTTTGATTGTTTTCGAGGAGTGCTAGGTGCGTGGCTAACGCCCGCGTTTTCTTGGAACCTCGAAGCCTGACATGGCGAGCCGCCCTCCTGGGACTGAGTGTGGTCCCAAGTGCAAGGATAGCCACGGGCCAGGGAGCTGTGGGCCTCGAGACCCGGACAGGAGCTGGCGAGGGCCTCCATGGTCCGTGTGGTTGGGTTTGAGGACCGGCCGGGAGGCTCCATTCACACCATCCCAGGGCAGGCTGCGGGTCAGATGCGAATGAAGGGGGCCGGGCATTGGAGCTGCATGTTTGAGCTTGCCACCTCCAGGCCTAAGGGCCAGAGCTTCTGCTCTTCTGCCTCCTTTGCCCCTATCCTACCCTCGTGAATAATTTAAGCACAATCACTGTTTTTCTAGCTGTCCGCATTGACCCACCGCTGCCTTGAAGCAGATCCCAGATGTGTGCATTTATATGCAGAGTGACCAAGAAACTTCAGTAATACTAGTTTGTGTCTTTGGAGTCCCGCTTTGTGCCAGGGCTATTGCTAACAGCTTCAAGAGAATTCGACCTCACCTTGACAGATAGGGTGATGATTCACTATTTGTGTCTTTTGCTATAGCTAGGATGTGGTAGAGCCGGTTGTGGACTCGGGGCTATCTGCCCCAAGGCCTGCGTTCCCAACCTGTCTCTCTGCACGTACACAGGAACACAGGGATTCATCACCGTTGTGGTTTCATCTTTCAGATAAGCACCAAGCCTCTCCTGAATCCAAGTCCCCATCCCCACACAGCCCTGCCTCACAAGTGAGGGCTCTCCTGTCATCCCCCAACCTCCCAGTCTAAAGCCCTGGCCTCAGATTGTGTGACTGAATAATGTGATTATTCTGAGCTTCCTGGCAGCCACGAAAAGAAAACATGATGGTGATAACCTTGTTTTTAAAATGAAACTCATCAGGATTTTAGAGAGATGAACGTTTTTCCTGCATGAGGCTTATAGAAAATGTAAAGCTTAGTGGTTATGTAGGTCAACTGCTCATGTCACTGATGAGGAACCAGGTCCAGAGAGGTTACGTGATTTTCACCAAGGTCACAAAATTAGCTAGTACAGTGAGGACTGAGACCCAGGGGTCCTGACTCCCAGTCCAGTTCTCATCCTCTCATGAGCAGGCTTTAGTGGGCTTCTCAACTTGGAGACAGTTTAATTGTGGTCTAGCGACTCCATTCCTCACTATAAATTGCTCAGACCTGGATGCTGCCTTGTTCCTTTCTTTTCTCCCAGTTCCTAGTGCTGGGCTGGACTCATCATTGTGGGTGTCTCTAAATATTTGATAATTGAGTGGGGCTAAAACCTCTGATAATGAGGGGATGGGGGGGTGGTGGTAGAGGGGAAGTCCCTGACTTCAGTTTTCTAGGGGGCCTTTATTTTTTTAATGTTAGGTTCCTGATCCTTAATTCCCTAGGTCTCTCTCCTGGCAAGTGGTATGAGGTGGGTAGTGTGTTTTCCCTTTTGGCAGTCATCCTATTCTGCCTCATCACATTATTGGACCTTATAGGAAAGGGTCATTTGTCTCTTGGGGGACTATGTTGTCAGTAACACCTGCAAGTCCCTTTAGGTGAACCAAGGGAGGTTTCCCCACCAGCACAGTGGCCATGAGACCTGGCCAACTCATTTTTTTTGCCCTCTTTGGGTGGAGAGACAGCCTTTCTGTACTTGCTCAGGTTTGATTCCCACGGCTTAAGTACAAATCACAGAATGTGGCTTAGATTAGTAAATTTCCATGGCTCCCAAAAGGTAGCATTTGAATCCCTGGCATGATAACTGTAGGTGCTGAATAAATTTAGTGACCTGCAACAGACCAGATTCTCTGGAATTCTAGGCTGGAAAAGTGTCACCCCTGGGTGTGGGGAGGGTTGTGCTTCTGATGGGAGTCCCTATTGGCAGAAAGGCTCCAACAGATCCTGGCCAAATTCTGTCATCTTTGGGTAGAATCTGCATGAACAAAGCAGAGTAGGTAACTAGGGCTGGTTTGCAGCTAAAGCCCCAGCTGTGGAAGAAAAACAGGGTTCAGCTCCCCAGATTAGTTACTGTCTACAAGGATTAAAGGCCCCAAATAATGGCTGGCTTCTCCCCTCCTCTGTGCCAAGGGAAGACATGTAAATACAGCCGCACGCCAGCTTAGGCAGTAGATGTGTATAAATCGAATTTAGCAAATCAGATCATGGTTTAAATGCACTATTTAAAGCAGTCCTGCAGTGAAGCCTTTTACAAAGGGAATAATCATTTTGTGATGCTAATCATCAACCTCCAATTTATCTCCTTTGTAAGTTCAGATGTTGGTGCACTGGGTGTTCTGAAATTGGGGCGCTCTTGCGTAGGGCTCTGGTGATGGCTGTCTGCCTTCTTTTTCTGACCTCTCATTTTAAATGGGTGCATGTCCTGTTTCACTGGGGGCCTCAGGATGCTTGTCATTTAGCCTGATAGTTCTCATCCATCCCACTTGTCTTTTTATAATCTGATAGAGCCCACCATTCAGCTGCTCCTGGCTCCTTTTTTGAGATTTTTGCCTTTCCTGGGGAGAAATACAAGCCCTGCTGTTCTTGAGGTGTTAAAACCAGCTCCCTCTCTGATCTGAACGTCTTTTGTTTCCCTGAGCTTCTGGTACCTCTGGTGCAGATCAGAAAGATGATCTTAGAGTTGACTAGATAACACAAATCAGCCCTGAATTTAGAAGGCGAATTAAATGCAGCCACCCATCTGCTGAATAGGCAATATCCAAAATATTCTCCCCATTCACGGCAAAATAACTGAGGCCTGGATGTTAAAGGGACTTTTCCCACAAGTTAAAATCAGGACTCCAAGGAGAACCTGTCTCCCAATTGTTATAAAAGTGTTTTATATGCTGAGCTGTAGTTCCTTTCTCTACAGAGAAAATATAATCAGAGACCATCTGGGTGGGAGAGAAAGAATGAAGAGAAAGAAATGGATCAGAGTGGAATAAAGGAAGTGGGCAGGAAGCTGGGGGGCTTGGAGGAGCCTGACCTTGCTTAGCTTACAGGCCCTGATATAGTGTCTTTGTCAATGCTGCCACTATTGACGCGTTCCTCGGTAATTATGACTGTGTGTTGGCATGGCGACTCGGAGTAAGAAGACTAGAAGCACTGGGTAAATGCACGACTTGTTCTTGCCTTCTAAAGCAGAGAGGAGCTTTTGTGGGTAGTTCCTACAGGGATACACGGTAGAAAATTCACCAGACCCAGTGCTGGAGTATTTATACCCCATAGGAGCCAGGTAGCTCTGAGCAGAGATTGTACAAACAGAGGTCCTTAGCAAGACTGGCATCTAACGCAGAGGTCTTCCAGAGCCTCCCTCTTGTGTCTTCCTGTTGGTCTTTGTTCCTTAGCCTTGTAATGTCAAGTATATTCATTTCTGCTCCTCTCTGGGTTGTCTGCTTCAAAATAGGTTTATGTTGCAGTCTCCCTGAATTTGATTGATCATAAAATTATCTATTTCATAGGCCATGACTGTGTATTTGGAAGCTGAAGAGAAAGGCTGATGGGCACAGCTGGGACTTCCCTTTCTATCCTCTTGCCCTTTTCTTAGATACTTGGACCACATTCTCATCCTCATCTGAAAATGGGGAGAGGTTGCTGTTGTCCTGTATAACCACTAGACACCCATGCTGTTGATCTCATGAAATGTGGTCAACGTGGCATGTTGAAATGATAATGTTGGGTTAAGTACAATATATTGTTAAAACGACATGTTCATTCTTACATTTTAATGAAGCTTCGGAAACATTTAAAATTATACTTGGAACTGACATATTTTCATTGGATAGTGAGGTCTACACTAGAGGCTCAAGACCTCTTCCATCCCCAGTGCTTAGTAACTAATCCTGATCTCCCCCAGGAGGCTTGTGGCCACACAGGGCTCTGTGCATAGAGGTCCATGGAAAAGCTAGAGAGGAGGCACATAGAGAACCTCGTGCCTTAAGGGGCTTTTAGGAGTGCCTAGTACAGCCCTTTAAATGGGGATTACCCCTCAGTCCTTGAAGGCAGAAATCGTGGCTTGAATCTGTAGACAACATTGTATTTTTCAGCATTTAAGGTGGGGACAAGGCAGCCAATAGGTAAACCCCAGAAGAATCTTTGGATGAAGGTTTAGCAGTGCCCCAGTGGAGTCTGAATGGGCACAGCTGTAGATAACAGGAGGGTTGTCCTCCTTCCCCCGTCCCTAGCAGTGATTTCATAGTCTCCCAGATGTGCAGAAACCACAGGGCACGGGAAGGCAGCCATGCATCCCAGGTTCGTGCCAAACCCACTTTCAGCAGGTTTGTTTCCTTTGGCCCGAGGGCTCCTTGTCACCCCTCTCCTGGCTGCCCCTCCTCCCCTCAGCCTCTGCTGCTCTCCCTGAGCTGGAGCTTCTGGGATGCATCTTGGCTCAGAGCCAGCGTCTTCTTGGAGAGGCCTCCTGCCCTGGCTCCCTGCCAAGCCTCAGGGCCTCAGAGAGATTTTCCGGGGAGGTGCTGGGCTCATACTGCTGTCAAAGGGCAGAGGGGCCTCAGTTAGCTTTCTCCCCTTGGAGGACCCCTGGCTGTGGGTCTGGGCTTGCCTCCAGCCCCCTTTCCCCCTCAGAAACTCCAGTTTCCTGCCCTGGAAACCCTGGACTGGGTTAAGGGCCTTCCAGCTCCAGTAAGCTTTGAATTTATAAAAAGAAGGCTCCTCACATGAACCTGGGAGGTGAGAAATGGGCATCTAGGAAGTCATAATGAGTCATGATGATGGGGACAGGAACCATTTACTGAGCACTTACTCTGTGCCAGGTTCTGTGCTAATGCTTTGTATATTGTATCTCCTTTGAGGGCTGTCTCTTCGGGAGAAAAAAGAGTAGTAAATTGGACCATGGATTTTCCCTTCTTTTCTAAGCCAAATGCCATTTGGGTGACTGCATGGGGTGTGTTACAGGGGCTACAGCCCTTGCATAGGAGGGACTATCAGCCCCCAGTGAGTCCTTGTCTCCCAAAGAATCAGCCTGGGCTTTGGGAAGCAGCTTGAGTTCATTTGGGTTGCCAGAGGATGCCTCTGCAGTGTCTCCTGCTTGGGGCTGGCAGTACACCTGGAGAATCAAGATGGGAGGGCTCTATGCTGGGCCCCTGGGAGCCTTGGTGCAGTGCTAGAGGGGTGAGCAGCATACCACCCAGTCCGGATTTATCTCCTAATTGTGTGTTCCATATCCCTGCTGTGCCTCAGTCTGTAAAATTACGGGGTTGGCCCAAGCCTACCAGCCTGCCCACAGTGCCAAGGGACTGTGGCTGCTCAGGATGAGGCTGGCCTTTTGCTTTTTGCAATGTTGTATCCCCCTGATGTAGCACCCATGGTCTTCTGGAGGAGGGAAGGGGGCCCACATCCTCTGTCCCATCTCATCTTGTCCTTAAGCAGACAATGTCAAGCCTTCCTCCTATCTGCCCAGTTCTGCACCATAGCTCCTACTGTCTCCTTAGGTTAGGAGAGGTGGCAGATGCCTCTGAAGGCATGTTGCCTCCTTGATGAGTGCTGGGGAAAAGGGAAGTAAAGAAACAAGTCTCAAGTTTATAGCTACCCTTCCCTTTGAATGTGCAGCTGCTTTTACCCAGTCTCGAGTTCACTGTTCTCTCTTCTACTGTGGGTGACAGACTCCGAGACCATGGTGGTGTGAGGCAGAGGCAGTGTTGCCCAGTGGGTATCCAGGTGGAGGGGTTGGTCTGATCTAATTCAGAGCCCACAGGACACTCCTTCCCCTCTTCGTCTGAGCCAGTTTTCCCATCTGCAAAATTGGGAATAGTAATACTTACCTTGTGACACTCAAGATGCATCCCCCATCTTGCTGGTCTGTCATGAGTGAAGGCCACCTTCCCTGGCCAGCAAGGGACCAGGGTCAGCTCTCTGTTAGTCACTCTACAATAAGCTGTGGTGTTTATAGACCAGCCATAAACTCTGCAGTGCAGGGAGAACTCCTGACCTCTAGGAGCAGAGAAACTAGCTGTTACCAGCCTAAGGCGGCACACATCCAAGGAGCAGAGTGTTTTGATGTTTTGTCTCTGTCCTTGGGAGTTAAGAGAAGAGGAATTAGATTGGGGTGGAGAAGCCTCGCTGTGCCCAAACAGGTCTTCTAGGCTGTCGAGAGGGCAAGACGGCATCCCTGCCAATGGGGAGAACTCTTCGACTAGGGCCTTTTTTTGTGGAGATGAAGTGGGAGGAGGATTCCTGCTGGCCTGGGCCTGAGATTTGGATGTAGGTCAGGTCAGATGGTAGAGGATAAGAATGACGAGGTAGGGAGCAGGCTAAGAGAATTGGTTTGGTCACCATGTGCAAGACTGGTGGGTATTGGAGGCTATCAGGCCTTGTGCTGCCCAGGCCAACCTGAGCTAAGCAGCCACACCCACCCTGTGCCACTCACCTCTTATGGTACCTGGCCTGGACGTCAGCAGCCCTAGGGCTGTGCTGTGGAGCCATTTCCCACTTTGCAAGGGAACTACGGGGCTCTGAAATTGGAAGTCTTCCCATGCCACACTGTATTTTTTCTTACCACACTCATTTATTCATTCAATGTCTATTGACCACACATTATGTGTCAGCCTCTGGGCAAGGCCCTGGGGATACAGAGAAGGAAACCACAGTCCCTGGCCCAGCACTTTAGCTTGTGTGATGTGGAAAGGCATATATCCGTTTAGAGCTGGAAGGCCAGGCTAGCAGGGGTGGTGTGCTAGATTAGCAGGCACTCCGGGTCTGACAGTTATCATCAGTTTGTGGCTTATTGACTTTCCTGCCCCTCTCCATGTCCCAGGAGCCTGGGAGAACAGCGTCAGAGGCCATGTCATGCTTTGCCTGTGATGACCTTAAGCTGTCGTTTAGCCTCAGCTAGAACTGTAATTCTCTAGATTCCATTGTTTCTGTATAGAATTGTGACATTTCAGTTACCCTTTCTACATTTTAAAAACACCTTTTTTTTTTTTTTGAGACAAGGTCTTGCTGTGTCGGCCACGCTGGAGTGCAATGGCCTGATCATAGCTCACTATAACCTCGAACGGGCTCAAGCAATTCTGCCTCAGCCTCCAGAGTAACTGGGACTACAGGCATGTGCCACCACACCCAGACTTTTATATTTATTTTATAAAATTAAAAAAAATTTATTTTGTAGAGACAGGGTCTTTCTTTGTTGCCTAGGCTGGTCTCAAACTCCTGGCATCAAGCGATCCTCCCACCTGGGCCTCCCAAAGTGTTGAGATTATAGCATGAGCCGGGCACAGTGGCTCACGTTTGGAAGGCAGAGGCAGGTGGATCACCTGAGGTCAGGAGTTCAAGATCAGCCTGGGCACATGGAGAAACCCCGTCTCTACTGAAAATACAAAATTAGCGGGCGTGGTGGCACATGCCTGTAATCCCAGCTACTCGGGAGGCTGAGGCAGGAGAATTGCTTAAACCTGGGAGGCAGAGGATGCGATGAGCCGAGATCGTGCCTGGGCAACAAGAATAAATCTCTGTCTCACAAAAAAAAAAAAAAAAAAAAGATTACAGCATGAGCCACCACACCCAGACTAAAAGGCAGTTTGATTTTATAAATCAAAATAGCAGTAATCTATCGAGATTTACTTGTGAGATTGGTAGGAAACATCTTAAATGTAATCAAACAATAAATTACATCTTGATGAATTCGTGTAGGTTTCTCTTCCTCAGAAGAAATCAGATGCTGTTCAGAGCACCAAGGCTAGAATTTTACCTTGGTTCTCATGCTACCCTGCACCCAGGTTGGATCCTGAGTACAGTTTTTGGCAGGTGGGCCTGTATATAAGTTAGCAATGGGGGATACCCAGCTGCCTCTCTTCATACAGCTGAGGTTTTGGGGAGTAATTCTCACAGCCCCTGGGTTGGGCCTAGTCCTGCAAATGAATTCACTAGCCCTAAAGCCCAAATTGCAGCCTCTGTCATTCTTTCTTGCCTTCCAGGAATGGGAAGGGCAATAAGTTTCATCTTATTATTATTGCTATTTTGGCGGTTTTGTTGACGTTGGTGTGTGTATGTTAGTAAGATAAAGCTCTCAGAAATTACATAGCATTTGTCAAGGATATAAGAGGGACTCTGCCACTTCTGGCTGTATAGAAGGTGGTTCTGTATCTTTAAATAGAACCTCAGGTCCTTAGCCACCAGAAACGTTTTCAGGGGAAGTGTGCACCCTCAGCAGCTGCTGCTGGTGGGCAGGATGGGCACACATGGAACAGGCTTTCCTCTGTGGCCAGGTGAGAAGCAGGTGGCGAGACACAGAGCAGTGCTGTGCTCTGCTTCTGAAGCCTCCAACCTTTCCTTCCTTAGGAAACCCCAGAGAGATTGGTGATGGTGATTTCCCAGGAAGACGTGGTGTGCTCCGACTTCTGTGACAGTGAGCAACGGGACCAATGGATGTCCGGATGCTGGCAATGAGTAGGGTGGCGTCCCTACGCTGGGTGGCGTCCACACCCTTTGGCTTCCATTGCCTGGGTCTCCTGGAGGTGATTTGCTGGATGAATACTGCATGCACAGAATCTGGCCTTGGGTTTGAATATGGTGGCCAGTGGACAGCATGTGCTTCAGTTATGAGGCTGCCCAGGAGATGCTTCTTCCAAGGCAGAGCATATGCCGAGTCCAGTGCTGGAGAGGCTGGGTGTGCAGTTGACCAATTTCCAGTTCTAGTTTCCCTCTCATGTTCCTCTGTCCCCATCCAGGACATGCTCTGGAGTCAGAAGACAGCAAAAAGAGAAGCAGAAGCCCCGGTGGCAAGAGTCCAAAGGTGGGTCCCTTCCTGACATGGGCATTGGGCTGCGCATGTGTGTTTGCAGTTCTTTCCAGCTGCTGGAAAGATGTATTTCTGTGGCTGTAGATGGATGGTCCAAGGTAGATTTAGGTTTTAGAATACTGTTATTTTTTTTCTACATTCAGGGAGAAAATAACCCAGTTTGGGAAGGACAATTTAAAAAGGGAAAATATTAGGTATGATGGCACACCTGCAGTCACAGCTATTCGGGAGGCTGAGGCTGGAGGATCACTTGAGCCCAGGGGTTCCAGGCTGCAGTGAGCTATGATCACGCCACTGCACTCCAGCCTGGGTGACAGAATGAGACCCCTGTCTCTTAAAAAAATGTAATTTAATTTAAAAGGGGAAAATATCCTTGGTGGTTCTTGGAACCAGCACCTACTAGGTTGACCTGTATGAAATTTCTTTCTTGTTGATGCAAAATAGTCAAATATTGACAATTTCTTATAGTTCAACCTACTATAGTTCCTTTCCTCTGGGATGGTAGAGGGATCCCCAGAAACACATTTTAAAGAGTTTCTGATACTTTAACCATTTGTGTTCCTCTTCATCCTATGATACCCTTCACAGAATTTTTTTTTTAACAGCAGGAAGGAATCACTGTAACCTGTGGATTGTACTGCAGTAGGAAACTATCCTAGCAAGGCTCCACTTTGCCCCAGCTTCAAGGTATATCATCTCAAAATGCAGGATACTTCAGATGAGTTTTGAGCACCCTTTCTTTTGTTATAAAAAAAAATTCCAGACAGTTCAGCCAATACTGACTAAGGGCTGAGACCAGTTCCAAACTTTTCTGTCTCTGGAGGAATTTGCTTCCATCTGGATGCCTGAAACGGTATTTTACTTCACCTCCTGTGTCACCGGCAGCAGTCCTGGGAGCCTTGGGGAGGAGGTTGTTGGGAGAGCCAGTTCACAGCCTCTCCACAACCTTTTAGCCACCCCGGTGCTGGGCAGCCAGAGTGTGGGCTTTTGACTGAATGTTCTCGCCTTCCCGCATTCATTACACCATTGTCAGTGTGTGTGTCTGGGGCTGCCTCTGGGGGTGTGTGTGTGTGTTTGTGTGTGTTTGTGTGTCAGTGACAGGCTATGTGTGTCTGTTTCTGTTGGCTTGTCTAGGCGTGCTCAGTGCAACAAGGAGCTTGGGGAGGTGGCAGTAAAGGGGGAGGGCATTTCAAAGCCCAGCTGTCCTCCTCAGGGACCTCAGGAGATGCGTGTGTGTGTGTGTGTGTGTGTGTATGTATGTGTGTTTGTGGATTTTTTTCCATACTGCTCATTGTGTGGGGCTGCATGCGAGTGTCTGACCAGGTGTGGTGTGAGCAGCCGCTGGGCTGGGTGAGCCCCATCTGCTGTGAGCTCCCAGACTTGCCTTCTAGCCCTCTGCTGCCATCCATGGGGAGCCTCTCCCTTCGCAGCTCACCGTCTCCTCTCTAATTTATTAGCTGGAAAGGAGGAGAACATGAAACGTTGCTTGAAGACAATGGCCGAGACAGCAGGTCCCACCCTGCACAGCCGCCAACATCTCTTCCCTCAGCCTTGTCTCTTCTTCTGCAGTTGGGATCTGTACATTTAAGCCTGAAGTAAGAAGAAAACAAGCCCCCAAACCACCCTATTAAAAAATATGCCTGGCCTTAGATGTGCAGAGGTAGCTATAAACTGTTGAAGGTGGGAGAGGTCAACAAAATGAAGGTTTGAGCCTTCTACTCTGGGGCCTCCTAGCTCTGAGTCCCAGCACTTCCCCCCAGTTCCAAGCCAGGTTGGAAGGGGGCAAGGGGCCCAAGGCAGCTGCAGGGGCTGTGTTAGTAAACACTTTCCTGGGTTCCCATTTTCTGTACACCCCCCACCCTTCTCTACTCCCTGATGCCCCGTTATACACTCCCACCCTCCAGCATCCCCTTTTCTGTGGCCTGCACAATGAGCTCATTGTCCCGGGTGTGATTTGAATAAGGGATCGGTGGGCCTGTTCCCAGCATTGTCCAAGGGGCTGGGAAAAACCCCAGCGCAGGCAGGAGGACCAGACCAGACAGAGACAGATGCCTAAATTAGCAACAAAGCTTTGTGCACGTCCCCTGGACAAGGGCTCGCCTTGTTTGCGTGGACTCGAGGGTGTGGAGCTGGCCGGCTGCTCGCATGTCTCCCCATGTTAATTAGTTTTGCATGCATGTCTGAGAAGGTGCCAGGGGAGATGTGTTTGCCTTTCCCCGGGAGGGGGCCCTGTTTGTGGCTGGCCAGTAGCCTGGGGGCCTGGAGCTGAGAGGGGCTGGACCTACCTGGAGAGCCAGGCTCTGAGCCTGGCCAGGGAATTGCGGCTTTCCCATCCTATAGTTCTGTCTCTCTGCCGTCTGGGAGGCCTGGCTTTGCTCCCTATGCCTTCTTCCCGCCACCCCTCCATGTCTGAAAGTTGGTCAGCTCTGACTGCTGGGACTCACTGGCTTCCTCCCAGACCCAGGCCAGTGCCTGTCCATCTGGCAGTCTGTCTCTTGCGACACAGGGCCCCTTGGGACCGGGCAGCAGAAACAGCCAGTCTGGACTCTTCTCCGTCCCCGAGCCAGATGGCCAGTCTGCTGATCGCATTACGGCCTCCCCTGTCCCCAGACCCCTGCCGCCTGTGGTTGGACCAGGATCTTGTGTGGAATATGATGGAGAAGCTTCCTTTTAGGACCTCATAGAGGCCTGGCCTGAAAGGAAAGGGGTCTGGTAGACAGGGCGTAAGGCATGTCCTTGCTACCGGTTTCTATGTGACCTCAGGCAGGCCAAGTGACCCCAACTCCTGAATCTTAGTTTTCTTGTTGGCAAGAGGAGTGAGTTGAACTTCAGGAATCTCTTGGCTCTCTTCTAGTTCAGAAAGCCTCTGATGGTGGTAACAGTGGTGATCATTTCAAAACTATGTTGATTTAGCATTCGCTAATTTAGCACAATGACAGGAATGGGACTAATGAATTCTGGCTGGGGTGGAGGGGAGTGCTGCAGGAAGGATTTCATCCCTGTTTTTTGTTTTTGGTTTTTTTTTTTTTTTTTTTTGAGTTTTTTTTTTTTTTTTTTTTTTTTTTTTTTTTTTTTGAGACGGAGTCTCGCTCTGTCGCCCAGGCTGGAGTGCAGTGGCCGGATCTTAGCTCACTGAAAGCTCCGCCTCCCGGGTTTACGCCATTCTCCTGCCTCAGCCTCCCGAGTAGCTGAGACTACAGGCGCCCGCCACCTCGGCCAGCTAGTTTTTTTGGTACTTTTTAGTAGAGACGGGGTTTCACCGTGTTCGTCAGGATGGTCTCGATCTCCTGACCTCGTGATCTGCCCGTCTTGGCCTCCCAAAGTGCTGGGATTACAGGCTTGAGCCACTGCGCCTGGCCTCATCCCTGTTGATATTCAGTGCGGGCTCCTGTTTTCAGAGTGTGGGGAGGACCAAGAGCAGGCAGAGCCTGTCTTCCCAGGTCTTCACAGAGGAGCTCTTCCCCATCCCTAACCTGCAGTGGTGAGAAGCAGGCCCTGGTTCTCTGCATAGAGACTGCCAAGCAGAAGAGAGCTTGGCAGTGGCAAAGGAGAAGCTGGAGGGAGAGCAGCTGCTAGCCAGGGCCCTAGGTGTGTCCTGGTTGCCCCCTGCAGGTCCTGGGACAGGGTTGGTGGGGGTGGGCAGGGGACAGGGCTGAGAAGGGTCAGGGTTCATCTGGGAACTTCAGAGTTCCCACCTCTCCACAGCCCTTCAGAATAACCCCAGGTGGTGGGTGGGGAGTGGGATGAAGCATCACCCTGCTGTTTAGTGCAGGGGTCTCAGGTTAAGTGGCCAGGGGGTCTGGCTCCTTCTTTGCCAGCCTCCCAATCTCTGTCACTCTCCCACTCTCTTATCAGGTGTTGTGGGATGTACCTTGCACTGAGGCCAGGCAGCTGACCAGAGCCACCCACAAGGAGCCTCTGGAATTAACCTCAGGTAGCCACTCAGGCCAGGCAGGGGAGAGACCCTGGACCTCCCTTCCAGCAGGGACCTTCCTTCCCATGCCGCTGTGCCAGCCAGTTCCCATACGCAGTGCACTTGTTCCTTCCATCTGGGCTGCCTTTTTCCTCCCTGCCTCTCTCTGTCTTTTTATTTCTGTTTCTGGGGGGCCTCTCTTTCTACCCCTTTCCCTGTCTCCCTGAACTGCTCCTCACTCAAGCTGGATAACTGGTGGTAAAGTCCAAAGCTCAAGAAGAAAAGAAGATAGAAGTTAGCGCTTCATGGCAGGGATAGAGTGAGAGAGTTGCCTACAGTACGGGTTGGGAGAAGAGGCAGGGCAGCAGGGCCTTGGGAGAGCTGCCCACTGGCCTCCCTGCCCCTCCCCATTCCTACCTCCCAGGGTTTAGCCGCCTCAGCTGTAGCTCTGAGCTCCTTAATCTGGTGATCCTTGTGGTGCTGGGGGGCAGGCTGGCAGAGGCTTTAGGAGGTGACAGGGGATCTTGGGAGTCGCACTCTGCTAACAGAGTGTCATGCAAAGCTGGAGAATCACATTCCGAGCGCAGCTCCCACTCCTAAGGCAGTGGCCCGGTAGGGCTGGACCCAGCACAGGTGGTACCCAGTGGAGGACTGAGGCACAGACCCTGCATGCAGTCGGGCGTCACCTCCTCTTTGTCCCTCAGGAGGAAAGTTCCCAAGATTAGGGCTTTCTGGCCCTTTCTGCATGGCTAAGTTTTTATTGTTTGGTAGCTGCCCCCACCCTTACCCCAGCCCCCAAATCCTCTGGCTGCCAATCCCAGTTAGAAGAAGTCTCTGTAAGTTGCAGGTATCATCCCCGTGGTCAGCCAGGAATATGCTGTTGGGTTAGTCGGGGGTGGGGATTTGTCTAGAACTAAGCAAATATGCTGGGTGGAATGGCTTCCCTGCCTAGATGAGCAGGGGAGAGAACCCCTGAGATGAACCCCTGATTCTCTCAGCGATGGGCCCTGAGAGAAGCCAGGAGAGACAGGAAATTGAGGTGGGGGTGTGAATGCAAGCCCGAGTGGTTCTGAGGCATCCAGCTTAGCAGAACTGGGGCAGCCCCCAGGCCTTGGACCTTGGCTGGAGGGTAGGAACAGAGGAGAAGATGCTGTGGGCCGAGGCCCAGGGCTCTGCTTCTGCCATGACTCTGCAGCAGACCCTGGATGTCTCAGAGCCTCCAAACCCTCATTTATAAAATAAGCATCATAATCCCTACCTCCATTGGAGCTGCTATGAAGACTCTTGGGCACATGGGAAACACTCAATGGGGTTAATTTTTCTTCTCCTTTTCCTTTAGATATGGGGCAGAGATGAAGGAGTTAAGGTTCTGCAGGTCATTTAAGATAGCTGAGATTTAGGGAATGTGGACAGTGGTGATATTCAGAATATTTAACCACCTGTACAGGTTGGGCACCAACCAGTCAGAATGACAGCTGGCCCAAACCATCACCCAGGGAGGAGGGCACAGCTGAGCAGAACTTGTCCCTGTGTCTTTCTGCCCCATCATGAGTCCATTTATCAGCAAGCATACAGACATCCCTTGAGGGCAGCTCCTGAGGAGGTTGCAGGCTGCAGGATCCTGAGATCTTTGCATTCAAGCAAGTCAGGCGTGCTTAGCATGGCGCACCCTGCCTGACCTGAAAGAGGACCTGGAAGCAGAGGGCAGTGAGCTGAGGGCCTTCCCAGCTCCTGCCCCAAGCTGGCAGCAGACCTGCTACCAGGCTCTGAGGAAGAGCTGCTTCTGTGGGCTCTCGCCATCCTCATGTCCCCTAGAGCTGCCCCTCCTTCCTGTCTCTTCTTCTCAGAAGCACCGTGGGTCAGGATTAGAGGGTCTGTTTGTGCTCTGATCTAACTCCTCATGCCTGTTTCTTAATCAGCCAGGGGAAGTTCATGGTTTCTGTTATCTGACTGTGGAGTATGGGAGTGTCGTGTTGGGGTAGTGTGGAGCCATGTTCTGTCATCGTGGAAAGATTCTGACCTCAAGGCAGGCAGCATCTTCTCCCAGCCCCAGGCTTTCCGAGGCCACACCTGGACATGTGGTGCACTTAGCCAACACTGACTCCTTTTACCTGTCCTATCTCTTTGCCTTGTTGGGTGAAATTAATGGCTTTGAGGGCCTAAGGTGGTCTGGTTAAGTGACAAGGGCATAGGAAGACACAACCTTACCTAGCTGGAAGTCAGAGATTTGGACTCTAGCCCACTTTTCCACTGAGTGGTCTTGGGCAAGCCACCTCCTTTACTGGACCCAGAAAAGTAGCATTGAGCTAGTGCAGTAGCTTACACCTGTAATCCCAGTAACTGGGGAGGCTGAGGTAGGAGGCTCTCTTGAGGCCAAGAGTTTGAGAACAGCCTGAGTTTGAGAACAGTGAGATGCTATTCTTAAAAAATGAAAAAATTAGCCGAGTGTGGTGGCATGCATCCATAGTTCTGGCTACCTGGGAAGCTGAGGCAGGAGGATCCCTTGAGCCCAGTAGTTCCAAGGCTGCAGTGATCGCACTACTGCACTCTTACCTGGATGACAGAGCAAGATCCTGTTTCTTAAAAAAGAAAGAGAAAGAGAAAAAAGAAAAGGAGCATTGAATAGGATGGTATCTGAGGTCCCTTTTAGCCCCTGCATTTTTTCATCTGGGAGTTCTTCCTGCTGCTTCTACTCTGTTACCTGCCAGTAACCCCTGCTCCCAGCCCTCTGGCTTACAGGAAACACAATTAGCTTTGTCCTGTTCAAGCTGGCCTGGGATGCAAGGAGGCACCATTACCTAGAGGCTACAAAAATGAAAACCCAGCTTAGTGCTGGCAAGGGGCATGGGGCTGGGCAGTGACCTGTCCTGGAGCAAGACTTGGGCAGAGAACATGAGTCTCACCTAGGTGCGCTCCCAGTCTCTAATCTGGATGCTTTTGTCCTTTCTTCTACTTCTCTTTGCTCTGAATGGTGTTTGCCTTGGTGGCTTTGTTTGCTCAGGTGGCCCTCAAGGTGGGTTTGCAGTGTTCTCCTTGGGACTTGCCCCATTCCACTTCCTTAGGCCAGAACCTTTAGACTCAAAAGCTCCAATCCCTGAGAAGCAACCATGGGGGAAACACTACTTTTTGGTGCTGACCCCTCTCCGAAGCACCCCAGCTAGGCGGCTCTTCCACTGGTACAGCTGATACATGGATGTGGGCTCAGCATCTTATATGACTGGCGTGACCTTGGGTCAGCTCCTTAGCTTCTCTGATCCTCTATTTCCTTATTTCTAACATGAAGATAACCACACCTTTCTCATAAAGTTGCAGTGAGGCATAGAAATAACACAGATAAAGTACCTCGAAATGATGTTCTGTCTTACCTCCTAGTGCCAGCTGTACCCAGAGGCTTCAAAGGCCACAGGCATAAACGCTTAACTTTCCTGACCTCTTGCCTTTGAGTTTCAGGACTACCCTGCTGGGGAAGTGCTGAGACAACCTTGGAGGAACGCCTCCCCCCAGCCCACTGCCCCTCTTTCCCCAGGGGGCAGAAATACCTAATTTCAGCCCTAATAATACCTGAATGAGATTTATAGGACACCTTCCTCCCCAGAGTGCAAAGCTTCTCACATATTATTTCTCTTATCTTTAGATTGTCCTGTGAAGTGAAGTATGATCGGACAGCCTCTTTTCAGCTTTTATGAAAATGGAGACAGAGGAATTGTGGCTCTTGCCAAGGTCACAGGATTGGAACACAGAGCCAAGCCACCCCAGGACATGCAAGAGCCTCAGAAGGGAAAAAGCCCAGCAGGAAGGGAGAACAAGTAGCCTCTGTTCTGAGGTTGTAACAGCCAGGGACCAGGATGGAGGAGGAGGACCCCTAATCCTGCCCATCTGGGACTTGGCAGGGGACCTGGGAAAATGTACCCCAACCCATCCCTCAAGGGCCTTTGCCTTTGGCCCATTGGCCTAGCATCTCCTTCTTCACTATGTCTGTTCTTGTCAGATCTGTTTGGGTCTGAGGTGCATGGAACATTCTGGGTAGGCCTCCAGCAAACAGAAGCTCTTTACCGTGTTTCTAGCCTAGGACCAAGGGCAGCACACTGGCAAAGTTGCCAAAGCAAGGGACTCCAGCCTGCTAGGAGTTAATGACTCCCTCTCCCCAGCTGTCCTCCCCTTGGTGCTCCTCTTCCTCCCTCCTCCTGCTCACAGCAGGCAGGGCCTGGACCCGGGAGCCATGCTGCTGTGCTGTTGCCAGGGGAGTCCGGAGGCAGATCTGAGCTATGCAGGGAAAAGGCCCGGCCTGTCAAAGTGTCTGAGATGAACCGCCGCCGTCCCTGTGCAGCTGGGCTCAGACGTGTCTCAGCTCTTGTTCTGTGCCTGAGAATGGCGAAACCCAGTGAGGTTCAAGGGCAAACTCGCTATTCATTAGTCAGGGGTTCTTGACGTCCCGTCTCTCCCAGGGATGGGTTCCCCCCCTTCCTCTTTCTCCCCCTCCTATGACACATTCCTGGGTGCCTTTGGTGAGGACTGCACACCCTCCTCCTGCCTAGCCCCCTTTCCAAGGGCCTCTGAATAAACTCCCCCCAAGGAGACCAGGCAGGGCAGAGACAATGGCTGCAGGAAATCATTCAGGCGGGACATGCTGGCCTGCCCTCCACCCAGTCCCCCTGTGGGCCCCACTCCCTTCTGATTCAGGGCACCCTTGGGCCCCTAGCCTATACAGGCCTGGATAGGAAGAAACCACTGGGAACAACCCTGAGGACATCACGTTAGTCCAGTGCCATTCTCTGCTGGCTCTGTGGGTGCCTTTGTGGCCTGCACCAACTGGCAGGCTAATTTTATGGTTTCTGTACCATCACATGCCTATTTCAAGACACTCTCAAGCACTGTCAGTTGGGGAGTGTAAATTCTACAATATTTTCTGAAATGTGGCAATATCAAAATGTAAAAGGCAAATATACTTGGTCACAAAAATGGCACTATTTACTCTGTGGGCATATTTGTAAAAGTTCCCAAAGAATTACGTACAAGGATGTTCATCAGAGCATTTCTTTTGAAGAGTGTAAAGAAATGGACATGAACCTATGGTCTGTTCATACTGTGGAATACCTATGCAGCTGTAAAAATCAGTGTGGTAGATCTCCGTATATGAGTTGATGTGGAAGGTTGGCCAGTTCACATGATAAGGTGAATAGAATAAGTTACAGAACAGGCTGTGGAGTATGATCTTATTTGTAGATATTTAAAAGTGAGTCATAAGTATGCTTATATACGGAAGTATGTACTGGAAGGCTACCTCTAGGGAGTGGGCATGGGGGAATGCACTCTTCTATGCTGTTCTGTTTTCTTTTCGTGCTCCTAAGATACTTTTATTGAAAGATGTAAAGGGTTGTTCAGTATAATAGGCTTAACGTCTATCAACTAACTTGGCGTGGGTGCTTTAAGAGGGTGGTAGTGATGTTACTGGAGAAAGTATCCCACAATTACTGGTGGCTTCAGCCATGGGCCATTTTGGGGCCTAATAATCACATATCATCATGGTTGCTAGTGTTAATCGAAAACCTACTAAGTGCCAGGCTTACTGTCTCTGGGTCTTGCTTACGTGGGTATCATTATTCCAGTTTCACCAAATCAAAAGAAGTTAATTGGTTTGTTGCAGCTCCTCTGCAGGTGAGGGGCAGAGCCAGGAGCTTGGCTAGGGACAGGGGAGGTGGGTGGGGGATGGTGGCTAGATCTTGGCTCTCAGTTTCTTTCCATGCAGACATTGCTCCTCTGCCCTGAGGACCTGCTTGTTTGGGGGAGGAGGCCTTTGGAGGCACTGGGGTCATGCCAGGTGTTGGACATGGTGAACTGGGAAGTGTCCCCATTTGGCCATAGCCCAAAAGTATCACCGTGCTGGGGGGTGGGGAACAGGGCTGTGAATGGGCCTATTTGCATAAGCAGCATGTGTGGAGAGAAAGACATCACAGAGCAGAAGAGGTGTGGGTGCCCAGTAGGGCAATTGCCACCTCTACTTCATCCCTGAAAGAGTAAATGGCCTGGAAAGTGTCTCCAAGAGGTAATGCTGCACACCACCCTCCCTGGTGGCACTGGGTCAGGTTACACCTGCCTTAGGTTGGGGGCTGCAGCAGCCTGCAGAGCTCTCAGTAGTGCCTCAGTAGCCTGGGAGGGAGCAGGGGCAGGGGGCAGGAAGAGGCATAATGGGGCTGTCCAGAGGGGTCTGGGAAACCTGGTCCCTGAGGCCTGGGCACAGCTACAGTCACTTCAGATTGGCTGTGGGGCCAGTGGACTGGGAAGGAAAAAAGCATTAAGAGTGGCCAAGTGCAGAAGGCTGTCAGGTCCCAGGTCACATGCCTTAGTGCAGTGACTCCTCATCATTTTATGGTGTGTGGGTGTCATTGGTACACCCATTTTGCAGATGAGGACACTGAGGCCCAGAAAAGTTAAGTTACATGTCCTAAGTCACACAGCTTGTAAGTGCCAGAACTGAGATCAAAACCAAGTCTCTTTGACTTTGAAGTCTGTACTTTGACTCCAAAGAGATCCTGTTTCATTTGGCCACTTATAGGAGGCCCCTAAAGCTGCAGACTCCCCTTGCCGGTGCCCACATATAGAGACATTAACCCCTGCCCTGCAGGGTCACCTCAAATAGTCTTTTAGCTGGGCTTCTCCCACAGTTCCACCTAATGCCATCCCCTGGGTTTTGCCCAAACCTGGACTGGGCAGCGGGGTGAGAGGAGGGGTTTACAGGGTTACAGAGCCTCATACAGATTGGAGCCCATGGCTGCTGGTCATCTGTATTCCTGCAGGATTGGCTGTTCCTTGGGGTCCTTGGCAGGAAGATGAGGATGCTCCCGAGACCTGCTCCAGTGCTTGCCAGAGGCTGGCCTGGTGGGCTCTGGAAAGACAGGCTGGAGAGGCAGAAGTAGGAGAGCAGCAATGGCACTCAGGTAGCTTGAATCACCAGGACCCTTCCAAGCCCCACAGGTCCTCCTGAGGGAGTACTAGGGCATTCTCTGGGAGAGGTCTCTTCCTATGCTGTGAACCCCCTGCCTTTCTTGCAACCTACAATGAATAAATTTTCTTTGCAAAGCCTTCCATGTCTCTGGTCAGTTTTTCTAGGAGGACATGAGTGAGGAAAGTAGCACTCTGCCACCAGCAAAAACAACTCTTCATGTCTTGGGGTGTGGTGGGGACCCTGGTATGGGTGCAAAGGATGGAGCAAGAAGTCTTACAAGGCTTAGAAAGTCTGTCTTCTTGACCTGAGCTAGGGTCATTTGGGCAAGAAGAGAAGGTCATGGCCAGGGCAAGGCCCACCTTGCCTTGAGGGTGCCCTGCCCTCAGGAGAGGGGTCCTGGAGGTTCTAGATTGGGAGCTAGCCCCCACACTCCTCCTCAACTTCCATCAGTGTCTTCTCATGTAATTCTCACAATGACTCCGTAAGACTGAATTTTTTTTTTTATAGACTAGGAAACGGAGGCTCAGAGAGACTAAGAAATAGGCAAAGCCACACAGCTGGGAAGCAGTGGAGTTGGCCTACAGATCTCATCTCTGTGACCAGAATGGGATGGTGGGGCGGGGGTGGTGAGTCTCTTGAAAGCCCCTGGTAAGTTTTCTCGTGTATGAGCTAATTCACAACCCTGCTTTCATCACAGCATTCATTCTCACAAGGCCTTTGGACTGCAGAGAATAATCAAGACTTACTGTGCCAGGCACTATTCTAAGTGCTAGTTTGTGTCTAAAATCGTGGCTTAATCTTCACATCTGTGTGCATAACTGGGCACTATCCTTATTCCTATTTAACCAAGAACGAGAGTGAGGCCAAGTTGGTCATCCAAAGTGGCCCGTGTGGCTCCGTGTGTGGTGGAGGAGGGGGGATTGCAGCCAGGATGCCAGCACACTCACGTTTGTCTGTCCAGATGCCAGGCATTTAACTGCACACACTGCCTCCCTAAAAGCCCCATCAACCTAACCCGGGCCCACGACCCCAAATGAAACATCTTTCACCGCCTCCCAGTAGCCCGGGCCGCGTTTAACCACTGGTAGGGCGGAACCACTGACCGGCAGGCGGCGCTCCCCGGAGCTCCCGGCTCGAGCCCCAGGGCACCGGGAGGAGCCAGGACCCCGAGCGGGAGAGAGACGACTGGGGGGCGCGCGGCACAAAGAGCTTTTTATTCAAATTTGTTTAGAGTTTCGCGAATTTGCATGAAAAATGTGTGAGAAAAGCCAGCTCCGGTGACCTCATCCGCACCTGCCATTAACGTTCAATTAGCGGCTGAATAGCGGCCGCCGACACGACGTGCAAAGAATCCGGCCTGCCCCGGGCAGCGAGGGCGGCGGGCCTGGCCCAAGAGGGTGGGACCGAGGGAGGGGGACGCGGCGTAGGACCCCGGCCTACTCCTCTGGCCCGGAGACCCAGGACCTCGTCCTCACTCCAACTCTCCGAGGGAACGCGGGAATCTCAGGACCCTCGAGCCCAAGATTGCTTGGGGCGCGCCGGGACCCTTAGGATGCCCCGCTCCCTCTGGGAGTAGAAAGGGGCGGGCTTGCCCCCTACCCAGGACTAAAGGTGGCCGGACGAGCTCCGTCCCAGCTCAGATGGGCTTCCCCGCCACCTTCCGGACAAAGTGTCAAATACAAGTTCAAGTTCAGGGCCAGGCCCGAGGGGCGCTGAGCCTTACCCGGCCGCCTTTGTTCTCTGGGATAATCGCTCCCACGTCCCCTCCCGGGCGGGGCCCAGAAAAGACCCCCGCCCCGCCCCGCCGCGCCCCGCAGGAGCCTCCTCCTCCCGCCGGCGCGGCGCCTGTCCCCTGGTCCCGGCGTCGCCGCTCGGTACCACCGAAGGATCTAGGGGCTCGGGCCGGCGTGGAGGGAGGGGGGCTGCGGAGGGGAGTGGAGGCGCGATACGAGCCCGTGGGAGCCTCCCCAACCCCGCAGTCCCAGCGGCAAACTGTGCTTGGTCGGACGGATGCCCGCGCGGAGGTAAGAGCCCTTTGCGGGGTTCGCCGGTATCCCTGTGCCCCGCCCCCCGCCAGGGACTATGCGGGCCCCAAGGAGCGGGGCGGAGGATGGTGTGCTGAAAACCTACTGGGCAGCCCCGCTGGGCCTCCGGTGGGGTGGGGAGTGCACTGTCGCTCCAGGGCTCTGGGGAGTACCAGGCCTGGGCAGTGGGTACGGAGGGCAAGTGCGCCCAGCCGAGGCCCAGTAAGATCGCTGGCCTTTCCCAAAGTCGTTTGGCTCACCCATCTCTCCCGGTTAGCTTCTTGGTCTCCCCTTCTGTGTTTCTGACTCTGGCGCTTCTTTGGCTCCTCTCAAATTTGGGCTGGAGGGGATCCTAGTTAGAATGTAGCTCCCCAGGTCCTGAGGCCCCTCCTAAAGAGCCGGACATGTGTGTGTGGCTCAGCTGTTAGGGGAATCAACTGTGCCCACTCACTCCCCCATCCCATTCCCAGAGCCTAAAATAAAGTCCTGGGCCAAATGGTAGTTGCTGGGGTGGGGTGGGCTAGACTGGGCAGTGACTTAGTGGCAGTGCAAGGACCATACGAGTTCTTTTGTGTGTGCGGGGGGACCACTTGCTGTCCCTGCATGCCTCGTTCCTGGATTCCGTGGGGTGACAGGTGTTAGCTTGTACCTAGCTTATACCTCATCCCGCTGCCCCAGTGCACTCCCAAGCTGAAAGGGCACAGGGGGCTTCTTCTGAGTGGCCCAAATCTTGTCCCCTATACTTGCCTTTCACTCTCAGGTGCTTGCTTTGAGGTCATTTTTGTATCCGTGCTTTACATACAGTTCTAACATCCACAATATTTGGCTTCTAAATTCACAGCAAGTTAGAAGTAACAAATTAGAAAGGGGAAGAAGGTCTTTTCCCTGCAGCTATACTGCTGTCCTTGTGTGTTCCTTCCCCTCTTCTCTATGTAGTCCTGGGATTTCTCACTTCTGGGATTTGACTCATGCTGAAGCGCCAGCCTACCCGAGTACATTTCTTCCCAACTCCAATTGGCCAAATTTTGTCGGGTGCCTCCTCCTCCAGGAGGCCTACCCAGATTTTCTTCACATCTCTCCCTCTCTTGACACCTTCAGCAGAGGGTCAGCTGCACATCTGAGTATTTAGTAAATACTCAATAAATGAAGTCATTTCTGGATGAATGAATAAAAAAACATACATACACATAAATCTAACAAGCATTGAGATGGTCAAATTTTTGTTTTTAATATTGATTCAAATATAACAGCTCCCAGGGGCTCCTCTCCTCTGTTCCATCACATGTGAAGTCTCTCACTTGCAAGAAAGAACCAGCCTGAAAACGCTGGTTCTGTGTGCTCTGTTAAAAAAAGAAAGGAGAAAAATTCTATGCAAATTGCTTTAAAATTTAAAAAAGAAGAAGAAATGCCAGAAGGGATCCCCTCAGCCTCTGTGCAGCTCTGCTCTTCATCTGACGGGGGTCCCCAGAGGGCCTAGAGGAGCTAACGTTTCATGAACTGCACACGACTTGGGACCCTTCCGCAAGGTCTCAGTGGAACCACCAGAAACGTGACTAAAAATGGAGACTGACCTACCTAGTGTGTGCGTTTAGATTCCCGATGATTCATCACTGACACGCTGATGTCAGAGGAGCCTGGGAAGATGTTTACATCTTTTATAAAAAGGGAAAACGGAACGTTTTTCTGCAAAACCATCTGTAAAACCATCTGTAAAGGCTGCTCTAGACTCTTCCTCTTCCTCATGGGCAGTTCCGGCCTGAGCTCTCGGACAAACCACTATTTTTCTCCTGTAGGTTCCCTAACTTGGATGGGTAAAATGAGGACATTTAAGGCAGCTACAGTTGGCAAAGGGTGGTATAAATACTACTCTGCAGTAGACTGAGAGAACAATAATTTATTTATATATTAACTCATTTAGTCCTCCCAACTAAAGGAGATGGCTCCCTTTTATAGAAGGGGAAACTGAGGTGTCAAGAGGTTAAGTAACTTGCCTTCAGTCTCACATCCAGAAGAAGGTCCAGTAGGCTTTATACTTGGCAGGAAGGGTTAGACTCACTGTGCTTTACTATGCTACCGACTTTGTAGCTTTGCTCCTAAGGTAGTGGCTAAATGCCTCCTCTCCCAAGTCATATTTCATGTGGATTTCCTTGCTTTCCTTATCACCCAGAGACAGAAAGGAGTCAGGGGTTGGGGGGCAGTGAACAGCCCCCTTTGGAGTCTTTAGTTTAAATTCTGGCTCTCTCCCTTACATACCATGTGACTTGTGTCAAATCTCCATATCCTCATCTGTAAAATGGATTTGCAAATTGATCTCATCTCATGGACTTGTGAGGATGAAAGAAGATGCTAGGTTTGGCCCATGGCCTGAGTCATAAATGTATCCTTGAATGACAGCCATTATTACCATCAATCACCTCTAATGACAATGTTACTGTCACTATGCATTTTCAGAAAACAATGCCCCTCCCCACTCCGAAAAGAAAATACAACACCAATACATCTCCACATGCTTTAACCAAGCAGCTGAGGGGTGCCAGGACTGTGGAATGACAGCAGCTTCATTCTGTACGCAGATAATTCAAACTCTCAGTAGGTCATGTGGACTCCCAATGTCTTAAATACAGACCCTTGAAACCATGTCTCTCCTGGGCTCTCAGCACTTAGAAAGGTGTGAGTGTGTGAGCGGGGGCGGGGAGGGGGAGGGGTTGAAAGGCCCTGTGGATAATTGAGAGAATTAGAGGCCAAGATGACTCTTGAGGAGAGAAATCTGAAGCATGTTCTTTTTTACTTTCTTAGCCATAAACTCTGACTATTACCTATTGATGAGGAAAATAAATTAAGACTAGACCCTGCTTTTCATCTGACGGGGTCTCTAGAGGGCCTAGAGGAGCTAACGTTTCATGAACTGCACATGACTTGGGACCCCTCCGCAAGGTCTCAGTGGAGCCACCAGAAACTTGACTAAAAATGGAGACTGACCTACGTAGTGCGTATAATAGCTATAATAGATCTAGTCAGTGGAATGCTTCTGCCTCCTTTCATGTAATTTATATTTATTTTTTAATTCAGTGTTTATTCTGTGCCAGACATTGTTTTAGGCACTGGCGATACAGCAGAGAACAAAACAGAAAAGCCCCTGCCCTCAGGGAGCTGACGTGTGTGTGTGTGTGTGTGTGTGTGAACAAAAACATCAGAAACTCTGTGCTGTGCCTCCCTCTGACAGGATCCCTCATGAGTGGGACTGGTCAGCTTGGTCTCCCTCATTCTCTCACCCCTTAAAGCCAAGGACACATGTTTTCACACAGCTGTCTCCACTTGGGGGTATTATTAAGAAGAGAGACAGAGACAGGCTTAATTTCTCTCCATATCCAAAAATAGGTAACAGGCCGAGGTAAAAAGTTTATTCAGGCAAGGTACCCGTCAAGCAGGCAACACACCGGTGCCTGCCTTCTTCATCCCATTCCTGACCAGATACTGGATCCAGGGAAGGCTGAAATCCTGGCATTGGAACAGGGGTAGAATTGGTGACAGTCCATGGCATAAACCAAGAGGACTGGGAAGGGACAAGTCTGTATCCAGGGGTGTGGGCAAATCATATTAATAGCTAGCCTGTGCCAGTTAATCCTCCCCAGGACCTCTGATTTAGAGATGAGGAAATTGAGGCACAGAGAGACTGAGTAAAGTGACCCAAGGCCACATAGCTATTCCTTGCAGATCGGGGGCAGATTTGAACCCAGGGAGCTGGCTCCAGGGTCTGTGTGCCTTATCCCACTATCAAGCTATTTATTTGACCAAATTTCAGAAAGAAATGTGTGCTTCTTTTGGGTGAAACTCATTCTCCAAGTATCCTTAGAAGTCTGCAAGGAGTTCTTTGTAGCCCCCCCCCCCACACACACACTTCTTAGAGGCCCAGGTTAGAGATGTTAGGAACCTTCTTTTATAAGCCCCCTCGCTTGGCAGATGAGGAAACAAGCAGACGGAGAAGGACTTGCTGGAGGCTATTATCAAAGTGGACACTAGAATCGTAATCTCTTAGCAGAGCTCACACTGGAGCTGCATGTCAAGGTCTTGGGGAGAAGAGCTGCTTACCTTACTGGAGCCTCTTCAAGGGCCTAGCTACTTCTACTGCCAGCAGAGTAAAACACCTGCCTACTCTGTAAAGAAGTCCCAGATAGTTTCTAAAGGCCTTAGTGGACTCGAGGTACCATGGTGTCCAATTAGAGAGCCAATGGGCCTTATATCTGGTCCTTGGAGACCTGTCCTTGTCCTTGTGGAGCACTGCCCATGCTCTGGGCATGCCCTTGGTAGGATATAGTTTCCTGCCAATTTAGGGAGCTTTACTCCATCCCTGAGCCAGGGGCCATGGAAGCCACATTTGTTGCCCTCCCCACTCTTGGTGTATACCTTGCACAGAAGTGGGGACTCAATGACAGTGGCATTCAATTGAATGTCTTCACCTCTTGGTGCCAAGTCAGGTCCGCATATTATCCCATAAGGCTGCCTGAAAGATGCCCCCGTCCTCCTTGGAATTGTGTGGGGAGGGTCAAGGACCACCACCCTGGACTTGGAATCAGAATGCCAGGAGGAATCCTGGCTCTACCTCTCCTTGCTAGGAGATCTCCAGGTAACCCAGATTCATTCTTTGAGCCTCTATTTCCTGAAGGAAGCTGACAGTGCCTCCTTGGGAGGCCTGGCAAGTGGGGGGGATTATAGGAGATGCTGCGTGTAAAGGTACTTTGCAAAGGGTGAGGTGGGTGGAAGATCCTGCTTACCCAATCACATGCTTACCTAATCCCTGCCTTGTTTGGTCCTGGGTCAGAGAAATCTCAGTCCTTTCATTACAAACCAAGAGAGAGGATGGAGGATTAGGGGAAAGAGGGCAGGGTTGGGCTTCCTCCAAGTTTCCCCAGAGAGGCTCCATCTTGAAGGTTACCACCGTCCTACCCCATGGAGGGGGTTGCTGCAGTGAGGAGGGAGCTGGGGTGGGAAGTGAGCCTCAG